ATTATGTAACAGATTAGAGTTGTAAAATTGCATAACAAATTATAAATTAGAGAGGATGACTAAAAAAATGCAACATCTTGATCTTTTTTGTACTGATTTTACACATTAGGTTCTAGACATTCAAGACAAATTGCATTAGAAAATGTCTTTGAAAATGGTATGGTTTAGTGCAATAAATAAAATTTTCATGATTGAAATAAAAGACAGCTTTTGCTCTGTGTGAGTTGAACTGATTTTCAGTAAAATTCTGAACTTTGTAATTGGTTTGTGACAAATCTCATGCTGGGTTCAAGTTTTATCAATTAGACTATCAAGTTATTCCTAATCAGCTGTTCTTATCTTTTTCTTGTGTGGTTGTTAAATCAGTTACCAAAAATATTTGTGAGAGACTGTGATCCAAGATGAAGACATCTTTTATCAATTGATCATTTTAATCTTACTTGATGAAATGATACCTTCACAGCCAAAACATTTGATATTGTACAATGAAGTCTCTTTTTACAATCTTGCTTGTGTCTGAAAGCTTAAACTCACTGGTAGCATCCCCGCCAGTCATTAAAAAAAATAATGTGAACAATTTATAAATATATCTTACTTTAAAGATGTATTTTTTATTTATATCATTCAGTTTATTTTTATTTACTTTTTAACGAAAATATCTAGGAAAACTGCCAAATAATATCATTTTAATTAATCCCCTAATGATACAACATAGAGTGGGGGAGGCTAAAAGTTTCCTTTCTGTCTATCTGTCTGTCTGTCATGAAATCTATATCGCTAGGTTTTTCTGAATTTTTTCTATGCATATTTGAACATATTGTGGTGTATTTGGAATGCGAGTCTAACTTAATTAGTGCATTATAGATATTTGGGGGGGGGGGGGGGGGGTTCTGTATTTAATAATATGCAGTTTATGAAGATGGATGACAAAAAATGAAGTAAAACTTTAAAGTTTCTCCAGCCTTTTTTATAAAGGAAGTAACTGGACATTTAGAATCCTTATCAAGAACAATATCTCATGTCAGGTGCCTTTTCCCCCCCAACATAATCTGATCTTTTTGAAAACTTCTGAAATAAAACCACATAATCTTGTGTTATTTTTCATCAGAGAATTTGAGTTGAAATGGATTTTTTTTTCTTTAAAACTTGAATCTCTTTGGAAATCTTGATAAGATAACGGGAATTTCTGGTACAAATGATGAGATGCTGATCTGCTCGGCAGGACGTCCCAGCTTGCGAAATGAGATTCAGGTGATAGTATCAATGGTAATGTTACTGCAATTCCACTTAAGAAGTTTATAAACACCGTTATCAGCCTCTATGATGAATATTAGCTCTTAAAAATGAGAAAACTCCCAGCAAAAAGGTTCTGTCGGTCCAGTTAGGATTTAGCCGAGCTGAAAAACTGGTAAGTAAGATATATAAACAGAAATTTCAATTTTTGGTAGATTTGTTTTCAAGACATTATTTTAGTGTATATTTATTCAGGGCTCAGTTAGCATTGATGAACACGATGAAGCTCTGGTAGTGAGTGATTTATTTTAGGCACATTCTGAAGATTGTTGAAAGCTTAGAGTTTGTAATTGGCCAAGATTTATTGGTTCTATATTTTCGACCAATTCTGATGTAGGTGTTTTTCTCTGGTGAATGATTTATTGCAGCTCATTTTATACTTCATAAAGAAACTTCATATATAAACATAATTTTACCTTTAAATTGCTGTTAATGTAAATATTATATCTTTTTATCTGTATTTTTTTGTACTATCGTGGAGTAGACAGCAATTTAGAAAAAGTCCGGGGTACATAAAGGAGAAAGAGGTCAGGTAGTTTGGTATCATTTGCCAAAATATCCCTCGTATAAAGTGAAGATATAAAAGGAGGACCTAATGGTCTCAATTCAATCTTTAGGTATAGTGATTATGCAAGTATAAGCAATGAGGTGCTAACTTTTATAACTGAGGATTTTAAGTGGCCAATTTTGATTAATGATGATCATTAATGATATCCTGTGATATATTCAGAAGTTAAACTTAAAGAAATTTGAGACCCTACAACTGCATTGAACATTTTAATTGGTGTCAGAATTTTAACGTAGAGTGTCAGAAATACAGGAATTATCCAAGGAGATTTTGAGAAGGTGAGCAGTTCAAACATATGCGTGATTGAGACAGGGTACGCAAAGAAGGTGGGAGAATGAAAGCAGTAATTGACTTGGTGAATCCTCAACTTATAAAGAAGATAATTATAAGTTAAATGATTTTTTGTGTTTGAATTATCATCTAGTCCCTAGCCATGGTTTGTTAGGGGTAGGCATCACAACATCTGAAGAATAGATCACCTAGCTGCTTTTATCTTGTGTATAGTATAGCTTCAGTGATCAGGAAATGGTTTACAACTTAATTGATTATAATTTAGATATCATTTACCAGGTCTATACTCATCCAAACAGAAGGTATGTATACATGCTGTCCATTCTGATATGATTATGGATATGACTTATAAAAGTTTATTGACTTTCATAATCTTAAAAGATTTCACGTTTTAATGCATGGCTATGTTTTCATAGAACTGTTCTGATCATGTTTTTTTTTCGGGGCTTTGTGATTCTCAACATTGCTAAAGGATTTTTCCCTATATCTAGGTACTGTTTTTATAGTTTTAGACAGATTTACAATGGTACATACTTGGTTGTAAACTTCAAATATTTTCACATTTGGGTTGGTTCAAATGCTTGCTCTCATATCTTTTTTGTTTGCCTAATTCATTGAATTTCACTGTCTAACACCAGAAATCTTTAAAGACAAGGTGCTTTAATAATCCTGTTAAAGTCTTAAAAAAATATTAGACTGATTTTACCACTTTTACAAGAGATTATTCACAGTGGTATTGCTAGGGACATGCTAATCTCGAGGCTTAGAAGGAGACTTTTTAATTTCTTTATTGTCCCACGTGTAAGTTGTTTATTTTAAAATCACAATAGCCCAATAAATTATAACACCCCATAAATTCCACATTTATTGTCCCCCTCAGGATTTGATTGGGGAAACTTGTCTTATGTCATAAAAGTATTAAGAGAACCTTTAATGAGATAGACAGGTAAAAATCTATGAAGGTTTTTCATCTGCTTCTTCACATAGGTGCTCTGATTGCTTATTGTTCCAAAATAAGAGAACACTGCATCCTGCAGAGTTAGGGTAGGGGCTGGGATGACACTAACCCTGTGTGGTTAATGACAGACTGTGAGCTTTAACTACAAGTTTGGTTCTCTGCAGTTTGGGTCAGGGTGTTAGGTGTTTTGATGCAAGGTGTGGAAATAGCAACAGGACACTGGATTAGGTGAGAAGAGTGAATTGTCCCCGTGTTTGTCCGACTTGCCCTAATCCTTGTCATTGCTATCAGTGGGCAGTGGTCATTCTAAAGAAACTTTTCATCATTGTCAAAAGTGTGGATCTTTCTTTTTTAAATTCTTGGTAAGATTATGTTTATTTGGTATTTCCCCTTTCTTTTATAAATTGCAAAGAGTAAAAGGGGTCATTTTTGTTATTTCATTCTTTATATCATTTGCAGTTTATATTTGAAATATACTAGTATCTGATTTTCAGTTGATTAATATTGAAGCAATATTCTGGATAAAACTGTAGAAATATTAATGTTAGTATCGGACATGTATCAACAAATGTAAAGTTAACTGTTAAAAGCTGTAATGAACCTGTTGTACTATCTGTAATTGAATGTAATATTTTGTAACAATTTGGAATTGGGGCATAAAAGTGAAAGGGCTTTAAACTCTTTTTGATGGCTAAATTTCATGATAATCTAAAGTATGCCATAAAAAGTTGTTTTTTTTCAAAGCAACACTCTGCATGAGTAGAAAAAGGAAGATTTGAGATTAGAGTTGGATTTCAGATAAAATTCAGAAGCTTATGTGCAGGTTTTTTTCCTACTGGATATGTATTTTCCTACAGACGCAGCGAGGAGTTTTATCTCTTAGCACATATTTCTATGTCTTGAAAATAAATCTTTATCACAAATTTAACATTCTTGCAGTCTTGGAAATGGGAGTCATATGGGGTGAGGGGAAGAAAAATAAATGTCCATTTCTCGTTTCTCAGTGATATGCCACTGCTATTTTTTATTTATCTTTTTATTCTCTTATCTCATTAAAAAAAAAAGGATTTTTCCCAAAACACTTGTTTCAAATCTTATCTGTTTTTCAGCCCACATGCACATCTCATCTTCACATAATTTTACTGCTATGGACATTAATAAAAGATATGTTTTTCAAGTTTGTGGAAATCTTTTATAACCTGGGACCTAGATATGATGTATTAAATATGATTCATAACCAAACAAGAACAGCAGTAGATTAGCCACAAAAAGGTACTGGTGTTGTCTTTGAAGTGTTAAAGAACTAATCTAGGTAGTAATTTGTGTTACTTGAGGCCAGTTTTTGACACCCTAGCAATGGATACATGAGTGATCTGCCAATACTTGTTGGGGAGTTGCGTTACCTGCTATCAACATTTTTGTTTCTTTGTGCCTAAATTATCAGAAAGGCCATTCAATGTTGGTGTTTTTGTGTCATTTTATGATATGTATGTGTCAACCTTTGATCCCAGTGTAATGTAGGGCAGGTGTAAATGTGAACACAAACAAACAAGTCCATGATAAAGTTTGCGTACAAACACATTGTAATAGTTAAAGTAGCTGATATCTTTCTACAGAGAAAAATTCTGTAGCTTCTTTGTCACCTGTTTCCATGCAAACAAAAAATAGCATACAAAATCAAAGGGAGCAGAGAGTTTAAATCCAGAAGGTTTACAATGTAATAGTACAAGACACTCTAGACATTATCATCGGTGTAAATTTTACTTTTACTTTTGTTGTTTTGAAGTGAAACCATATTTTTCAGGTGTGAACCGGAGACCAAGAATCATATTTCAGACATTATGTATGTTAATTCATGTAAATGACTGTCATTTGCTTTTTTTTCCGCAGCGAGTCGACTCCGTGCACCCTTAACTGTCAATCAGGCTCCGTTGGCCCAATCATCGATCTGCGTGGCTCTCACAGGTAAACCCCAGGTAAGCTCGCAAACACTTACTGCACAGGCAGCTGGTCATCTCCCTATAGTACCGTGGCTGGATAATGCCCCCCTAATCTCCACAAACTTTTATCTTAGGGATTTTTATTAGCCACCACATTTAGTCTTGTAATTGACAGTTTGTCTATGTCCAAGCTTGTGATCTATATACACTGTGTGTTAAAAGTGGGGAATATATTCTCTTCATTTTCATTTAGGGAATTTAATGATAAGTGCTGAATGGATTTTGATTGCGAGGAGGTTTTATATATAAAGTTATCTTAAACATGAATTTAATGGATGTACAATTTTAGTGGAAGGGATATTTTTCAAGCTTCATGATTAGGTGAGAGAGTATTTATAGATAATAATAATAGTTGTTCATGGTGTATCGTATCTATATGTGACAATAATTGTGTCATCATAGTACATTAATTTTGTTGTATATGGATAAAATGAATAGGACAGTTTTCTCATTTTCTGTCTTTATATAGTCACATAATAATATGATCATTTTTGTCTGTTTTTTATTCACAAGAAAATAACAAATTTCAAAAGTTATATATATTTTATGTTTTACAGTCATGCATGATAAAATTTGTGATTGTTTTATAACTCATCATGCAAAAAAATTATAATAGTAATTAATAAGTGTCAGCTTAATTTCATTTTGCCATCAGCTAAAACATTGAAAATTTATATAGTTTCTATTTGGTAAAGACAGTGAAAATTTGACACATGACCCTAAACAAAAACTCCCCCAGTATCCTTGTCATACATGCCAACCATTTGCTGATTTTTTTGTGAGGAAAAAAAGGTAGAAACAAGGGCTTTAATAAATTTTCTGTCAGCTGAATATTTTGAACAAGTTGACATGCATGTAGATGGTGTCTTTCTGAGAAAAGGCTAGACATTTGAACGAAAATAAAAACAAAGTCGTGGCAGCTTAGTTTTCTCCCAAGTTTTTGACAGGAATTTCACTCATCAAGGTTTGGCCCAAGACACTGATGGACATGCACATGGCTTGTTCATGGGAGATACAGCACAGTTTCATTTCTGTTGCAAAATTGTTAATTCCATAAGTCTCAAATTCACCTGCACCTGTGCTTGTCTGATGCTTGGGAAAAAAGCCATGAAGAAATTTTTCAGTACTAGCTCATGAAAAAAGCAAATAATTATTTGGTCTGTAGAGACAATATTTATGGTATCAACAAAATAATTTGTTGGTAAAGTAGACATGTGTCATTATAATTATTTTCTTCTTCTTCTTTATTTGTTGCATAATAATTCATTTTTCTTCTTTGTTTGTAGAGTAATGAGCAGTTTAGTTTCAACAGACTGAGCAAGACCACATACAAAAAGGTAACCTGAATTAATTATTACATTTAATAGCAATTAATATGGTGAGAAATGAACAAATATTAGTCATAAATTTCATTCTGTTAAATCCTCCATAAACCTCCCTGTTTAGAAATGAAGGTAGCCATACAGTACAATCAGATTGTACTATATGACTGTGATGATTTCAATACTATAGTCGTAGATAATGTGGCGGATGATATCATCTATAGATAAATGTTTTAAATGTAAATATAGGAATCGATGTCATTTTCCTGGGCCAGATAACATTGAATTTGAGACTCCTAAAATTATTTCCATGCTGTTAAAATATATTGGGATTATGCATTTATACACACACTAAAGTAAGACTGGTTTAAATTAAATTCGAAAATTTATGTATCCTTGACAAAATCTGTAAAAGATGTCCTTGGCTCATACCAGATTATAAAGTGAGAAAAACGTCAGTTAACAAGTCAACAATGAATGACTGTAGTATTTATTGAATGGAAGAAATTGGAACAAAGCACTCGGTTGTATGCCGCAACAATTTACCCTAAAATGGCAGTTTTAAGTCCGCTTTGTTTACTGTTTTTCCGAACTTTAATTATCAAAGAAGTGCACGCAATCAACACACACATGGACATTCTGATAGACTAATAAACCGTGAAACAATTGAAGGTTTTATCCCACACACTTATAAGGAAATCTGGTGTTGCCGTGTGTTCAATATTTTATTATTGAAATTACTGCATGCAACCACATAATTTTTTTTGACAAGCAGTGACTTAATACTTAGTCAGACTTCTTTTTAGAGGATAGTTTGGTAACATAGGGGTTCAATAAATTTCACTACCCATTCATTTTGTTTTGCACGACTCTATGAAAAAAAAAAATTTTAAATGGATATTCTTGTTTGTACCCGTGTAACAAGTGATAAATATTGAAATTCCTCAATGTTATTAAATTTTTATATTTTGATTTATAGTCTAATCACAAAATGATATTAAAATTAAATTTTTAGATGATTTACAGAATGTTCCTTTTCTTTAATTTTTCCCTGAAAGTTTTTCACTTTGGAATAAAGGTGTCTATTTATCTGTAGGAATTAAATCTACTGGTCAGACAATGAAAAGCTATATACAAGTATATTGTAAGAGGTAAAACTTCCTCACTAACACGTGTGAAGAAATGAGAAAGGAGGGGATTTGACCAATTGGATCTAAACATATATAGAAAAGGCTTGTACAGCTGCTGCCATCGCAAATGTAATCAATGCCAGGAAAATATTAACTGGAAATCGGATAAAAATAGTCTTACAAGAAGTGTCACACCCTAAAATAGAAATTATGTGTGGTATATTCATGGCAAATTTAATCCCAAGAATTTTACACCTTATCAACAAATTTGAGTTGAAATTACATTTCTGAGTTGCATGCATTGACGCCCAAAACAACATAAGAAAAAATGATATTTCTTTTATTTATGTTGTCTATTTGAAAATGAGAATATACTCAGTATGAGTAAACCAGGAAATAATATAGACTTTCATATTTTTTATGCATGGAAACACTTTTTGACATCTCTATCTTGCATTTCTTTTCACATTAGGTAGAATTGCTGTCAACATAAAAGATGTGTACAAAATATGTCCTTGCTTATGACAAGACTGAAATTAAAAACGATGTTAATTGATTTTAAATGTTTCTTGCAATTTCTCATGACCTAGTCCCAGTGGGTTTTGGCTTGAGGGATTCAAAATTTTGACTATCATTACATTATTTTGAACAGTGGAACAGTTAATTGATTCAAACAAATGCACATTTAAAAGCATATAAAGGGCAGTGAAGAAAAACAAATGCAAATTACATTTATCTTATTTAAAATTAAAATGTGGTGTATGTAGCCTATAATACTGTAGTTCCTTTATAGTGAATATGTTTAACACAAAGGAAATGGATTAAACATTACAATTTTGGCTTTGCTACTTGTTTAACATCATGGAGGTGACATTTACAATATCATAAATTATGATAATTTAAAAAATTTTTTCTTCTTGTTCTTTAATTTACAAAAAGTAAACTTGCAGGTTAATGAATTTTCATAAATTAGTATAAAACAGAAATAAAAATGAATGAAGAACTGAATAAATATAGAATGTTGACTTAGAAATTTGAACCAACTAAATTATTGGGCTTTTTAAAAGCTTTTCTTTAAAATGTTAGATAATTTCAACATGAATAGGAAAAAGATGTGGACCCAAAGTAATGGAAGATCTGTAGATTTTAAATTGAATATCTTGTATTCTAGCATTTGAAGAAAAGATGTTATCATTTATATAATAAACTAAAATATTTTTCAACAAATTTTTTTTTCGCTGGGGCCTGCAAACACTACACTTCTTTCATCTTAGCACATAGAAGTGGGGATAAGTTTCATTCGGGACAATAGTGTTTTTGTCTGTCTCTGCAGGACTGTTTTGTAAGGAAACAGAGTCTTCAATCATTTAATCTGATAAATCCTCGTGGTACACCCATATCCCATACATCATTTAATACATTTCACCATTAAAACTCCCCAGGATTTCTTTTTTAAAATGTTTGAAAAAAGCTCACGAAAGTGAAAATACACAAAAGTTTTTAAATATTTCTACCATCATGGGTTGGGAGTCTTTTTCTTTAGGACCATGTTCAGAATTCAAAGGTTAAACCAACACTTTTGTGGGGACAGAGAATTTTCTCTTGATGACCCTTTTAAGGTGTTCAATAAAACCATTATCACTTGTTTTTGTGTTTGCCTAAATATGTGACAGGACCATTTTTCGTTCATTGTATCAGGTCCTTCTTAAGATATCAGGAGATAGAGTAGTCGATATCAGAAAATACCCCTATCATCCTTTTCTTCTTTTCAAACGTTTTATTTAACCAATTTACTTTCTTATCAAACAGTAATGAGATTTGTTGTGCAGGAGCGATGTTGAAATTAAACACATAAATCCTGAAAAAGAAAATGGACCAATTGTCAATGTACATGCTTCTGTTGACAAGATGAGCATATTGTCGGGCTTTGTGGACGCATATCCCATACTTCTTAAAATTATAAATTACTGCAATATTGAATCATATAATTATGTCCAACTGTTGTTGTGAAGGCTTGATAAATTAATGCACTGAGTAAATATCAGGATCCCTGTGATAAATTTACTGTACTTTCAATGAATTTGGAAACCAGAATTTAATGAAGTGGTCTGACAAGAAAAGATTTTTTCCAGGGTTTGGATCTTGGAGGGTGTTTTTGTATCAGAATTGATAAACTGGAGGGAGTGTTGTAGTATGAGAGATATAGGTTATAAGGGTGTCCTGTTGCTTCAAGACAGATATAGGAGCCAAACAGTTCAAATACACTTCAGATTTTACAATCTGCAAAAATAATTTTGATACTATTGATGAATGTATACAGCTGTTCTTAAATATCTTGATCAGTTCTAGAGATAGGTTGTTAGGACCCAGCCTTATCTGTTATAGAGTTACAACAGCAGAAAGCAAGGCTGGGAGTTTTTTGAATTTTTATATAAAAACTTGACATCAGTTCAGAAGGGAGGTGCATGGATTTTGAAGTTAATGAATCTTACTTAAGGTAATTAAAAATAATTGATTAACATTATTATTATTTATTAAAAAGGTTTTTTTTAAATTATCTTTTTTTTTTTAAGGGGGTGGGGATGGGGATTGAGGGTGATATATCTTAAATGATAATTTTAGCAAGTTCTTTATTCTTTTAAATGAAGAAGAAATGAGGTTCCTCTTATTAATTTTGTTTTCTGAAAGAGAGGTCATTTTGATAAGAGTCCATAGGGAATATGGTCAATATGGTCAGACAATTCTATTTTGATGCAGCAGGACATATTGACATTTTGACCAGACAGATGACTGACAATGAGATAATTGTGTGCTAAGTGATACTAATTGATGGGGACTTTATTGGTACCTGCCATTTACCAGAGGGAGTATCAATGATAAGGGGACATTACTGTAGGAGTCAGGGCTCTCACATGGCAGATTCTTTTGACTCCACTTCAGAAAGATCTGAAGCACAGAGGGACTATAAGATTTCAGAGGATGGCTCATGAAGTGCATCCAAAGTATATGATGTGTAGCAAATTTTTTATCTTTTATCTACTTCACAGGATATTCTGTCCAAAGTCATTACTTACTGTAGAATTGTTGAGGTTTTAACAAGAAACTAATAGTTTTGTTATGGATTTCTGAGACTCTATGCCATAACGTACTATGGTGAATCCGATGTCATAATGTCCTCTTAATATCAGACTGTTGGCAGCATGGAGAATGAGTTACCATGGCAATGAGAGGATTTCTACTGATTCTACCTAGAATTTCTCAAGGTGCTCTGATATCTAGTGTCTCCCTAAATTCCATAGTTAGATCAGAAACAGGTGATAGGGGTTGTCACAGTGTTCTCAGCAGTTAAAATAGGTCTAAAATCAGACTAAAACCTCTCAAGTGTACTTCTGGGGAAAAAAAAGGGTTATGTCAGATTGTTCAGGTGAAAATTCCAGGAATATAAGTATGAATGCAACAATGTCCCAAAGACAGGTAGAGTCTAAAAGACTTCATATATATGGATGGTACTTGTCAGGCTATTTGATACCAAGATTATATGTGATTATGTTCAGATAGATTTTATTTAACTGGTATTTCTATAAATTGTTTCCCAATCTTATGGGTGTCTATAGTCCTTTTGTACTTGATTTTATTAGTGTGAAGTCGAGAGACAGAAAAGGATTAGTGGAAGTCAGAATTATAGTGAGGGTACCCAATCTGTTCTGGCAGTGGAGGGGAAAATGAAAATGTGTGGTAATAAAGTGATGATTACCCCCAGTGACTGTGTCCGAATTGTGGTGTATTACTACATTACATCAATACCTCCCCGGGCAGGCTTGACAGGCCTCTAGTTACCCTCAAATTATGTCACACCTTGTGTGTTTTTAAATACCCTCTTATGCAACTTAGGTATCAAATTCGGAACATACAGGTGCATCAGCTGATTTTTTTATTTATTTTTTTTCTAAAGGAAGTCGTGGGATTTTATCTTGTAAAGTATATTTCTAAAGATGTGTCAGGGTTGCTTATGTAATGACACGAATTACAACGGTAATGTCTTGATGAAAGGTAACTCTTATGTGTCAAGATGCAGAAATGTTGATGATTAAATCATATCTGTAATGTTAGTTCACCTTGCAGTAATAGTCATGTTTTATTACTTAATTCAAATATTGCTCAGATACGTACCAATAAGCTCATCAAAGATGATATACTCGCATTCTTGAAGTACTTAAGAATATTAGTTGTTAAGTGAAAAAAAATGTCAGAAATTTGGGAGGCTTGATAAGACTGGAAACCACAGACCAGTGCTTAATTAGATGACCAAGAGAGATTTATGGACAATCCAGATATCTTTGAAGGCAATTGAATAAATATTTTCCTGGCTGAAAATCTAGAAAACACTGTGGATTTGATCAATAATATCTGTTGAGTGCATTTTATGTGAGAGCTGTCTGTTAAAATGATAGAGTAAAGGGAGTGGCCAAGTTTTGCAGGTAGAGATTCTGGATTTTGTTATATGGTGTTGCAAGACTGTCTGCTTCTATTTCATTACATCATCACAAGGAAATTAATATTGATCCCATGAACAAAGCATTAATTTTATTGCTTATCAGCATGATCTCAATTTGTGGAAAAGTTGTAAATTGTGCTGGTTGAGAGCAAAATGTATATGCTTCATATTTCAAAGCTGTTGTTTTCTGCAGTTTTCTTCAAGTTGCAATACTGTCGATCATTGTTTTGTAACAAACAGGTCCCCTACATTTTCTCTATCAATAAATCTTGTAAATTACCAGACCAATGTGCTAATAAGATATACTTTAATTGTCACGGCATTCAAAGCATTTTCCCACTAACATCCGCAGTATATGGACAGTTATGACTTTTGGGTGAATGGTTCTATTTACTGGAACATCTCTGATATTGAAAACAGATATAGAATTATTGCACATGGAAGAAGTTTTCCCCTCTTGACCCTCAGTTAGATTCTGCATTGGACATGCAATAAACATTTGGACAGAAGGGATGATGTGTAATGATTGACAACTATGATGAATGCCCGTCATTTACAGCTCATTGGACAGACACATTTTTATTTGTGATTGGGACTGCAGGATATATTGACTGTTACACACTGTTAGGGGTTTTTTGGAAAAGGACAATATGTATATTATCATATAGATTTTTGGATTATGACATGACAATTCCATCAGGTATCAAGTTTCCTTTTTTTGTACTTTTGATATGTTTCTATTGTTGATTAATATATATGTTTAATAGGTTTGATTGTATTTCTTTGATTTTTAAATGGATTTTATTATTTCAATTCAAAAATTATTTTCAAAAGATGACCTTTTAGTATTATTAGAAATGTGGCTATTTCAGTCTTAGGAGAATTTTTGATTGGAAATATTGTTTGTCATTTACTGATATTGATGGCTGTCTCAAGTATCACTTTTGTTACCTTTTGAAAATTAACAATATTAATTATTTTTTTGGGATTTACCTGTCTGTGTTTCATCTTGTGTTGATGGCAACCTGGGAGAGTTTAGCCATAAATTTGGTGTAATTTTTCATTTCCTGGTTAATAAATCAAAATAAACCTGCCACCCTCCCCAGTGTAATTGAAAAAAATACAAATAAACATTAAAAGTTGAAAAAAAAGAGGAAAAATAAATAATCTGATGTAAAATATGATTCAAACAAGGTAGGATTTTTTATGAGAAGGAAGTCAAGTTGTCCTTGTAAGTGTTTAGAACAAGAGTCCAGTCATGTCTTTGTCACAAAAGAACATTGAATTGGACAGCTGTAATGATGTACAGGTGGCATAAAATAGCTGACCACTTCAAAGGCCCCTGCAGTGATTCTTCTCTCTCTCTCTCTCTCTCTCTCTCTCTCTCTCTCTCTCTCTCTCTCTCATTTTACTACAACCATTACTATATTCCCATGCATATTGATCTAAACAGGGGGATTTGTTTGAGTAGGGTGTTTGATCTCAAATGTACCAATATCTGTTATTCTTGGACTTTAAAAAGCAGAAAGATAAACGAAGACATTCTGTACAATTTATCAATTATTCAAAATATTATATTTTGAAGTTCTTTGTTCATTTGGACTCAATGGCGATTTTTATGTATGGGGAGTCTAATGCTCATCTGTGTGTGAGCTGTTCACACTCCTGGGTATAAAGGGATTCCCACCTCTTTATCATTATCCGCCCTGGGAACACCAGCAAGCCAAAAACACATAAAAATTTTCCTATTTGTCCTGGGATTGAGTTCCCCTCTAATCTTTATGTGGGCCTTATGAAGTGCAGTAAAAGTACCATAAACTGCAGTCCCTGCTGAGATGAGTGACTTTACAGCTCAAGGTTTAATGATGTCATGACTTCTGAGAGCTCTTCGATAAAAGGAGTTAGGGTTAGTGTACAGTTTAAGGTTTGCCAACTAAATTGAAATGTAAATTGAATTGTGGTGGTTCTTTTCATAGTGGTTTTATGGACATATTCTTTTTTACCTGGATCTTAGATCATTATAAATGAATTTTAACCAAATTTGTAATGTAGAGTCATAAAAAGGATAGAATGTGAGTTTTCTCTGTGGGGTTTTTGTTGTAATGAAATAACAGGTGGAAAACTGCAAACAAGCAGGTGAACAATTAATTTTCATGAAATGTTGAATGAATTAAGCTTGGCATCATTTTTCTTTGTTTCAAGCTGTCTGCAAATTCATCATGGTGATACAAAATAGCAACTAAAAATAGACTAAATTTTTTAAAAAGTTTTTTCTTCCTTTATTCAACCTTCTTAGGTTGAGAGTGAGATTAAATAGCTATTGTTAGAATGACAAGCAGAAAGAAACAATTTGTCAACAGATATCGCTTGTCAAATGTTCATCAATTAAATTTACCAGATCACCGATAGACAAGGGTCATAAAACACTTAAGCTGGTCACCATCTATACAGTGACCTAGAGCAGCCCCCAGGAAAACCAATGAAACATGCCCCAAATATCAAAAAGAATTAAAGAAGAGATTAGATAGGTGGTCGCCAGACAGGGAAGTTTTAATTAAATATCGATTACTGATTTAGAATACAGTAAAAACAGGAGACCTTCGAGTGATGCTTCACCAGCAAAACTGAAAAAAGATAACGACAGTGAAACTAAGACAAGCTTGTTTGTAGTTCTGGATGGTGTAGATATGCTACCCCGTTTTATGTTTATCAATCTTTTTTTTGTAATAAGAGAAATTAGAAATTCTCGTAAATAAGAAATTAATTTCTGCTACCAGCTTTCATTGAAGCACCAAGTCATTGAGTGAGAAATAAGTCAATAAACTTTGTGCATACAAAAAAATTGGTATCTAAAAAAAAAAAAAGGGGTAAAAATAACAAAAATAGTGTCATTACCCTCAATTTGACAAATTAAAAATTTACAAACAGGTCCCTAGAAACTAGAAAGGCATTTCTCAGAAGAAAAAAAATGTTTTTCAAACTGATGTGATATATCAAAAGATTATTTTTGCCTTAGATGAAAAATCTATGGATTATAATGCAAAAAATAATAATGTAATGTGCAACTAATGGTCTATCATTTATGAAATCCCTAATTTATGAAGGGTTAATTAACTTGTTTGATTTTGATGGAAATAAAAATTATAGGATTATTACACCTATAGGTTTGAACACCCAGAGGGGCCAATAGATATTTGCAGTAATGGCCATTAGTGTTTGAACAAGATGTTTTCAACACCTGCAGTAGCTTGCTACCACTAAACAGGAAGGGGAATGAAGTGGACAGTTTTATTAGGGGCTCTTATCAAAAATCTCTCCCCCATAAAACAACAAACAATTTTGATCACACTGTGACCCTCTGCTTTCTTTCATGTAAAGGGCCACATTTTCTCAACCATTCGGCACCAAATTAAAAATCCTCCAACTGTCATAATTGCTTGTGTATTTTATCTTGGTCAGACAACCTGTCTGTTTTGCATATGATTTTCATTTTCAATTTGCATAAATTTTGTTTCATTAATTTGCACAGGTGAAAGAAAGGACTTCTAAAACAAAAAGGAATTGAAACGGTGAAGATCTAGTGATTTGTTTTATGTTTGGATTTACCATTATCATCAGCCCTATGTGATTTATTGTTAAATGTGGATGTTATAAATGTGAACAAGAGAAGATATTTTTTTGTGTGGATTACTTGATTATGATACAAGTCACAGTGAAATGTCATGTAGAATTCATCACATCGCCTGGATAACGCTCGTCATTCTGTCCAGTCTTCAAGGTAACCTTTTTAGAGACACTAACTTTCTCATTGCCTCTAACATGCTTACATTAATATGATAATCATGAATTTTAGATATAAAAGATCATGTTTAATTTTCAATTTTTATAGGAAAAATCTTGATTTTGGATCAGAAAGCTAACAAATAAGAGTCTGTCTTGATCTGTAAATATATAGATCAATGGGTATTGATGTAAAAATAAATTGAAATGGATTGAATCCGACAATAAGATATATGGAAATGGATCAAATCATACAAAGAAGTTCTTCAGTTATTTGTATAAAGATCTTTTAAATATGTCATTCTTAATTTTTTTATTTTTACAAACTTCTGTTTTTACTTTCAGATGTTCTGGGCCTAGCATGGGTGCAGAAGCCCTCTGACACCACCTCTGTTATTGGAGGAGACGCAGCCTTCAACTGTGACTACACGGGGGCTAACCTGGCAACATGGGCCGGACCCCAGGGCTCATTGTTTGTAAACAATATTTCTATGGCTACAGACAACCGCTTCTCCATTCGAGGACTCTTCAATCTTCATATTAGCAATGTCAAGAAACAAGATCAGGGGGAGTACACATGTACGGTACAGGGACTGCCACCAGAGAAGGGATATCTCAATGTCTACAGTGAGTATACTCGGACATTATTCTACCAGGGCTTTACTTTCAGTATTCATTGTAGGATCAGGTGTGACAGACATGTGTTTTAGAAAATATTCATAAAGTACAGTAAAACTCAATTAGTACGAACACAGATATTGCGAATTTACAGATATAGAGAAGTCATCTTGGATCCCCAGCTATATAATTTTCATGAATAATTATAATGAATTACGGATATAGCGTAGTGATTTCATAGGTCCACGTGACTTCATTATAACCAAGTTTTGCTGTAAATTATGGTTGGTAAAAAAAAATCCAACTCTGGTGGACAAAAATAAAATTATTTCCAAGTTTGATAGACAAGAAGAAAAAGACCAGTCATTGATTATAGGGTAATGAAGTACATAAAAAAAAAATAGATGTGATAGGCCACTTCTTTTAATATTATGCTTCTATAATTACTCTGACCATTTGAACTCGGTTTCATAAAACATCTCTTAAACAAGCAGACAGTTTAATTTTTATAGGACTGCAAAATTTTAGTGTCAGACAACTAGCCATCATTTATACAACAACTTGTCTGTCACGCTCTCATATAATTACTCATGTATAACATGATTGTATGCTATAAATCAGTGAATATTCATACTTATATACATGAGATGCATTGCACATTTTACATTTTAATACTTTCAAAATCTTGAAAGAACAATGATATCTGAAACAAAATTAAAATGTAGAAGCAAGCTGGTAGTCTCTGTCACATTTTGATTACCGGTATGTATTTTAACCTCAATATCCAGAATTCTCTGATATCTTGAAGATTTTTTTCTTGGTCTCAAGGATTTTGAGATAATGAGGTTTTACAGTGAAAATTAATGATTAGTATTCTGACTTTATCAAGGAAATGTGACTGTTTTCAATTTGACATTGAGAAAATCAAAACTTGATAGACCGAAGTATTGGTGAACTAAATTAAGATTTTTTTTTTCAAATATCCAAGTTACAAATTTAAATTTTACTTTACAGTTCCTCCCCACAATATATCAGTCATTACAAATGACACCAGACCCTCCCAGGTTGAAGGAGACTTTGTTTCCCTGACCTGTTCCTCCATTGGAAACCCCCCTCCAGAAATAACCTGGTTTCGCGAGGACTCCCAGCTTACAGACAGTGCTACGATTCAGATCATCCAGAAACCTTCCATAGGACACGGAAACATTGAGACTCTGGTCACCAGTCAGCTGATCATCAAATTACAGTATACTGATCATAATAAAAACTTCTACTGTTCTGCCAAGAATGATGTGAACCTGAATAATCCTAGCAAAGTTCCTTTCCTTGTACAAGTGCAATGTAAGTACATGTTTATGAATCTGAAATGGATTTTAAGTATTACCATAATCATAAAAATAATATCTTTACATACCGTATTTAAAAGCAGAATTTTTAGCGAGGATTTAATATTGTCATTATTAGTGAGGGTGCCAAGATTGATAAAATTGAATATCGCTAAAAATTAATTGCATTTTATTTGGAATAGCTCTTTAGTGAGCTTTTTAAAATTGCTAAAATATCATTTCGCTTTAAAGGATATAAAAATTGGCGGTATTATTGACACTTAAAAATGGAGATAAACGTTTGTTTTGAAAACAGGGTGGCGGATGGCGGTATTTTAAAGAGAATTTTATATAGCAGGAAAAACGTTTTGGGAAATCATGGCGGTATTGCGAAAATGGCGATGAATCGCTAAATTTGTTTATGAATCTGAAATGGATTTTAAGTATTACCATAATCATAAAAATAATATCTTTACATACGGTATCATAAAATTAAATGGATAGGTGTTTTGATATGAAATGCTGTGAATTGTGCAATATAATTTACCTAGGAATACTGTAGAAGTACTATTTTGGTATTAATTTACGCTATGTACGCGGTCACAAACTTTCCGCGGAAATTTGTCCAAGCGTACTTAATAAAAATATAAGGCATATAGTGACAATCTAGAAAATCCGCGTAATTTTCTACCCACGGATTAAACAGAAATTGAGATTCCGCGGAATTATGACCCCGTGGAAAAAAGTACTTCTACAGTATATCAAAGTGTGATTTTTCTGAACTGTAGAGTTTTGTTATCTAAAAAGAGAGAGAAAGAGACTGAGAGCGATACAAAGTCTTTAGTGCCATTAACTAAAAGTGTATGCTGGAGAAAATGTTGAGACTTAACTTTCCTCAGAATTGAACTGAAAAACCTCATTTAATGAAGTTAAATGAATTTTCTGAAAGTAAATCATGGAATGCTGTAGATGGAGTGATGAATTATGGGAGTAAACTAATTTAATTCTCTTCTCATAGATAAACCCAGAATCACACTGGAGCCCTCTCCTCTAAACATCCTCCTAGGATCCTCCAGTCAGCTGAGGTGCATCGTCAGTGCTAACCCCCAGGTCACCAGAGTCAGGTGGCAGAAAGATACCCAGGTGTTGCAGGGTTAGTATGGATGTTCTTTTTCATTCCTTTCATTTTAGTATATATAATCGTCAGCATCATTATTGGCAAAATGCACTGTACATATATACAACTTTTAATAAAAATCAATACATTATTTTTAAACTGTGTATTCTTTTTAAAAAGTATTGATTTTTTCCATGTACAGAAAACATGATACTCAGTTTCAATGAAAGTAATAAAATGGGATCACCAATGTCCTTATTTTTCAAAATAATGAGAAGACTCAGAAAATAATTTGCAGAACAAAAGCAATTTCATTGCAAATTATGTCACTGTGTTTCAGATACTGAGGCAGTGCTACTATTTTCGAGTGTTGATAGAACTGCAGCAGGACAATATACATGTTCTGCTTCCAACACTATCAATGGCCAAGTCCAGACAGACAGCAAAAGTACATCTGTTCAAGTTATATGTAAGTAATATTGTGTAAAGACTACCATATAAAGTTGTCTATAAGTCAGTTTTGGGGGAGTTTAATTTTGGTCCAAATCTATGTGTCCAACTTAAAGGCGAGTCATTGAAAGATAGTTTTATAAAATTATGCATATAGTACAATTATTTATGAATTTTTATAGTTTTATTTTAATCTTCAGTGTGCATTACTTATTTTTTAATGATTTAGAAGTAAATATCTACATCATTTTTTTTAAATATTTATTGAAACCTCGCTAAAACATCACAGCATTGATTTAACATTGTCAACCAATTCTGGCAAAAAGTTGTACCGACTTGTAAGTGGGTCAATGGCAAATTCTTCCAAAGTAACTACAAAAACGCTTAGACTTATAGGCGAACCGACTTATACACGAGTATATGTGGTAAGTATATTTAAAAAGCTTTGTATACTGGTACATAATCAGTGAAAATGACCTAAATAGGTTTTTATTAAGATGCAATTAAACATCTTTATTATGAATATGTTAAAGTAACCATGTAAAATATATTTAAAAATCACAGGGAATCAAAAGCATCAATTTGTTATAAGCATGTTCGCTATAAGCATGCTTTACTGTACTGACTGAAATTGTTGGGCAAATTTAATCAAATACCTGTATACCACTGTTACAGATCCACCCATAATCACTGTACCAGCTACAGCAGTGGTCAATGACTCGGGGGTACTGCACCTCCACTGTGCCGTGGATGCCAACCCCCCACCCCTGTCTGTCAAATGGAGGAAGCTGGACAGTTCCCGCGAGTCCACGTCGGCCAATTTCACGGCCTCCCCCGTCACCAGGGACTATGAAGGAAACTACACCTGTATTGTGATGTATCGACTAGAGCCATCTGGGCAATCAGTTGAACAAAGTCAGAAATTCGCCTATACCTATGTTTATGTCCAGTGTAAGTGTTCATTTTAATATAAGCATGTCCTCCTAATATTATCAAGCCTATTGTTGTTTTATGAGAAGTCAGAAACTGTATAATGTTTTTTTTTAAAAGATGCTCCTGGATATTCCTCAATCAAAGCTGTCTCAAGTTCTGTGAGCATAGGAGAAACCATTTCTCTCACCTGCTCTGTCTCTGAACCAGGTTTGTCATACAAATACAGTCAATAAAAGAGAGATAACTCTTATTGTAGTCAACACTCTTCAGGTTAAATTTGTTGCATTTGGTAAATCATCGTTGCAGGATATCCACTTCCCAAATATGAATGGAGAAAGATAGATACCAATCGAGTTTTATCAAGCCAAGGATCCACACTGACCATTCAGTCGGCTGGACTTGCTGACAATGGACAGTACGCCTGTACTCCCTATAATGTAATGGGCAGAGGAGGCACAGCCACAATCATAGTGGAAGTACTAGGTAGGAATTTAGCACAAATACATAACTTTTATAATGACATCTGCAAGTACATTAAGCATTTAATTTACATCAGTTGAAATTCAATTGATTCTAAGTTAAATTCTTTTTGTTATAATAGCTATAGACTAGTGTACTTGCTGAACAAGGTCTTGAGCCAAGTGACACTTGTGTACAAAGTATTTTTAATATTATACAAACAATTGTTGTTATAATGCATTTAGAATTATAGTTAATGGACCAAATTTTTGTCAATTTTCCAGAGTCACCTAGCTTTGTGGAGTCTCCACCCACTAGTGCAACCATCACTTCTAACCAATCCATGTATTCCGTCCTATGTAAGGTTCGAGGCCTTCCTAAGCCAAAGTTGGAATGGCTGAAAAATGGTCAGGTCATCCAGAGTGGACCAATGTACAACATAACAGAAGAGGTCACCTCTGTAGAAACCTACAGTAAATTAGTCAGCTCCAGACTTCATTTCGCAGGTACGTAGTATGGTCTTTAAAGTTAAAGTGAAAAATCACACTTAAAGGGGAATAACTCTGGAATTGTTTATGATGTTGATATATGTAAGAAAACAGATGTTACCATGCAGTAATTATAAGAGAAATAAATGAGTTTTGTTTTCTTTGGTTTGTTGTATATTTTACAAAAATATGAACTAGTACTTCACTAACTGTAGAAAAAAAAACTATGAGTACACTAGTTTATCTCTTTGTTTGGCAGGTACTGGGCGACAAGGTTTGATGATTGATGATATAGCTAATTTTACTTGTCGGGAAGTATCGGGAGGTGAACAGCACAATTTAGAGCTTTATATCATGTGTAAGTAGATGGAAGTATATTGTATACCAACTATTATTTAAGACAACTTTTATTCGGAATTTGAAAAGTTGAAAATTGTCATCTGGCAATTAATTCTTGCAACTGGAGGAATATTCTATATAAATGAAATACACAAGAGATGTAAAAACTTGGCAGCCAGAAGTACTTGCAAGACAGATAATAAAGAAATATTGAAAAAGAATTTATGCATTATGATTTATTTTCAATTTTCATTAGCTTAGGGTAGCTTCATTTTGGGTTTCCTTCATTTTCCCTTTATTTTACAGTTAAACCATCAGTAGACGCTGATGAGAAGGTAGCCACCACGGTGAATCATTCCACCACCATGACCTGTAGGGGTAAAGGTTTTCCTGTGCCTACATTTGAATGGTTTAGAGACAATAAAATCATCCAATCAGAATCCCGGTTTACAGTAGAACCCACCATTCAGCTGAGTGCCACCGAGGCTAGCAGCTCTTTGTCCATCAGAGATGTGGTGGCCGGTGATTTTGGGGAATATGTGTGCATTGGTCAGAATTCTAATGGTCAAGCTCACAAAACAGTGCGTTTAACTGTGAAAAGTAAGTGATTATTTGTTTAATGCAGAAGTTAAATGTATTAAAGTAAATCTTAAATTATTTATCTGTACTTTAAAAAAAAATTTATTTGAAAATTTCTAATATGAATAAAAGTTTTTATTTGAAAATTTCTAATATAAATAATTTTTTTTATGTAGATCGCCCTGAAGCTCCCTACAACCTGTCTGTGATATCCTACACCTGGGAGTCGGTCTATCTGCGCTGGACCCCTGGGTTTAATGGTGGGGAGCCCCAGTCTTTTCACATTCACTTCACCAGTAGTGTTCCTCCCATCTACACAGGAGATATAATAGTCTCACCCCCAGATGCCACTCAGCATAACATCACTGGTTAGTTTTCACTGCTTAATGATTTCAGTTATTTATGACTTAAAGAAGGAGAAAGAAATTATCTTACTGGATTATTTTATATACATTTATCTGATTTCTTTTTTAGATTTGCTGCCTGGAGTAGCATACCAGTTTTATGTGTATGGCAAAAATTCTCTTGGAAAGGGAAACAACTCTCAAAAAATAATTATCAAGACCAAAGGTAACCAGGAGTTATTATTCTTTGATCATGAATAGATTCAATTGCCTCTATTACGTTTTCACCCATCATAAAAATGTCCTTTTCTTTTCCAGATTTTGCATTTCCATTAGTTAATAACATACCAGACTACTCAGCTGAAAACAAAAGATTAATGATACCATTTACATTAAATTCCACATACTGTGTCAAAGTGAAGATAAGTGTTAACGGTGGTAGCACCTGGCAGACCATTCCGATGAGTGGGAGGGAGTGCTTCCCCGCCACGGAGGATACCAGAGAACTGAGTCTGCAGAGTGATAGCATCAACCGCCTCAATGTGTCCATCTGTCTGTCTGTCAGACCGGATATCTGTGGGGTTCATCTGGCCGCACTGATTAGTAAGTAGAGACATTTTGATTTTTTAAGGCAGTGTCAAGATGTTAGAATGTTGAATTGGTGTGGGAGAGATGCCTTTTTTTTCCTTTTCATTTAAAGTGCAATGATTGTTGAATTTGCTTTTTTTCCTACATGGAATTGAATATAATTAACAAAATTTGGTAGAAATGTTCAGGAGTAAATTTGGTCATGATTGAATCTGTGCATAGATTTTCTGTGTATATGAAATCATTAATTCATTATGACACATCCCCCCTTCCCTTACTTCGGAACCTGAAGTTGTAATATGCATATGTAGTCAGTAATTCTGCTCTCTTTGCAGTCTTTATATCATTGCTTTGTAAATTTTAGGTGACAACCCAAAATATGGTTTCCAAAGTAAGTGATTATTGTGTGAATACCTATGCAGACTGTAAATATATGTATTTTTGTTTTTATTA